TTTTTTCCAGTGAACAAGCGTTCACCGGAAAGACGATCGGTCTTCATGCAAAGAACTGATAATCATGCACGCAGGAAGTCCATGCGATCCCATAGTGCAACATCTTCCTCCCAGTCGACGCCCTTTTTCCTGCATGCAGGAAGAGGCTAAAATACAGCCAATATGAGTCCAGACATTAAATTACAGCGCAAGAATCATTCTTGCTGTTAGCGACACGCAAGCTTAGTGCAAAAACGCATGATCGCGCCGGCAAGCTTGGTGCTTTGCACCCTTGGTTCCTCTTGTCCGCATGGTCTGAGTGCGAATCCACAAACTTGAAGTTGATTTGCGTCACTCTTTGTTTTAATTGGTTAGCTTACTTCCAGTCTAGACTAAATTCGTAACTTGAGAACTAAGGAAGCTATAAGTGGGAAATTTTAGGAGATTATTTCTGCTAAGTATGGAAAAATGTTGTTTAATATCAGGCTTTGCCATGATCAGGTCGCAAGTCGTTGTGCACTTCTAGCATTCAAAATAATTCATGGCTGATAACTCGAAGTGAAGCCCCAGGCCTTGGTCTGTCTTTGTCGCAATTTTAGTTTCGTGCAGATTTGACGGATTCTGGACAAATCGAATTAAAAAGTCAAATTTTGCGATTGCATAAGGTGACTGATTAATTTGAAATCGTTTATCACCCGTTACTGCACTTTGTTCGGTAACTGCATGTTTAAATTCGAGCTGATATTAGGACTTTAAAGCAAAACAAGCTGATGTTTTGGTGCTTTGCATGTGCCGATTCGATCAAAAATTCTGGTCGTGGTGAGGAGTTGGTGTATTTCTCTTGTTCACTAGGCGAGCATTCGCAGCAAAACGCACAGTCGCGCTAGCTGTCTGCATTGCCACCGATTTTGTCAAATTTTTCTTGCTTTCATCGGGCTAGAATTCCTTTTGTCTTCTCGTATCACTGAAGAAGCATTCGTGTGTTCTCCCAGCGGCAGTGCATGAATGTGTGCAGTCAGTAGCGTAGCTTAACACAAAATGTGCTTCACAAAGAGATACACGCAGTACTGCTTTATTTGTCTGGAAGGGGGTGTAATCTTGGTAAGATAGCTGGTAAGTGCGTGTATGTGTGAGATACGCAGCTTCTCGCCTTATTACGTTTAGTTAGATGTATGGGCCATTTAGTGCTGAGCACGATTGAACAGTTTTATGCTTGTTTCAGTGGTCCTCCTGGTTTGACAGTGGCAGTTTGTAGATATTTCAGGTATTCGCTGGCCTTGCTGCTTTTGTGTTCGTTGGGAGCGCCGATGACGGGTCTTACTGCGTGGTCGTTTGCACTCGAATCGCTACCATTCAACGCGTTGTTGCTCCATCTCTCATATAAGTTCTATCGGAATGCGGATGCGAAAACGTCAAGGAGCCTCTTCCACTATACGCTGCTTCATCTGCCTCTAATCATGATGCTTATGGCAGTGAGCAAGTTCGGGCACAGCCCTGACTGAAGCGTTCTGCTGTCTTGTGAGATCCTCGTGATAGCAGCTTTCGAGAGATAGGCCTTTTCTGCTTTATTTGTTTATTGATGCTTGTTGATTACGAAGTTTGTGCCATTTTATGTTGTATAACTAGTGCTGGAAAATGCGTGGTGCTGTTCTGGAGCATCCGCGATCTGATTTTTTGTCCGTGACTCGATGCATTGAAGCGGCTTCTTTGGGCTCGTTGCGTTCAGCATTCAGTTCTAATCACTCCTGGTGAATAACCGGTAGCCAAATGCTCTCCTGCGCCTCACAATTTGGCCAGAGTACAGGTGCCCGTGCCTTCTGACTGTTTTGCTTCTAGTGGAAGTATGCTTAAGTAAAGTTCTGCAGTGTTGTGCGTTATGTTATCAGTTTGGCGTTGCAAAATCGCGCTCCGTGTTTCCGATGCAGCGGCGTGCTTCTCCCGGCATCACATTCACAGTGCACATCGGCAGCGTTGCATCGCCTGCAAGATCCGTCAGAAGTCGCATGCGTAACAGACCGGCGGGGTGCGGTGCTTGCGGCGTAGCCGACAACCAGGACAGCCATTGCTCATCGGACTCTGCGTGCTACGTGAATTTCAGGGCGGCATGAAATGGCGCGCTGGCTTCTGTTACGTCGCCTGCTAGGGCTGTCTTGGGTCGCTACATTCCTCGTTGCAGTGGTTGTGTATTTGCTGACGAAGTACCACGGCTCGTTAAAGTATGATCAGCTCCGTCAACATCTCGAAGCTCGACTGCATAAGGTGCAGAGCGAACTGAAAAAGGTTCATCGATTTTCTGCTTTTCACTGTTCAGATATCGGGACTGCACTGCATGGGTTGCTTCCCTCATCCAACACAAGGTAGCGAAAGCAGTCCAGCACTCGCGTGTAGTGTAGCGCTCAGAACTTGGGTGCGGGTCGGAACTTGTAGTCGCTTTCTGTGCATGTAGTTGTATTGCCTTCGGAACATGCTGCTTCCCGTCAGCGTCCCGTTGATAACCATCTGATGGCTGAATTTCAGGTGCAGAGAGCACTGGAAATTCGTGAACGCGAGTGCTATCTGGGGAATAATCCGTTACGAGTAATAGCCAATGATTCGTTGGTGAGTTGTTACTATGAAAAGTGTTTATGCGATTGTTCATTCCCTTCTTATTTTCTTTGCTAGTGCATTTTTGCCCATTCTTTCTCTAAAACACTTGTTCGTCGACTTGCTTCGCAAGGATTTCGTCTGCTGCAAGGTTTGTTGGGGGGTGGGG